AAATGGTACTTTGGAAATCATAGATACTAAGTTCAGGTGCAGCCATATTCCTTAATATTTTACTTTATTTCCAGTATTGCAATGTTTTTCATTGAAAATCCCTTCATCCCAAAATTAAATATATTAAATTTAGTTAAACCAACAATAAATATAAAAATTTCATCACCATGATTTGCAAAACGTTTGCAGGTCAAAGGATTCATCATTTTTAGATATGACTGCTGGAGCCCATGAAGATGTGAGACTCCATATATACTACAAAAACAAACCTCCAATTTTTCCCTTCTTTAAGATCATCATCATTTCAGTTATTTATCTGACACTTATTTTCCTCATTTTTACAGGCAAGCCATCGTGTTGCCCTCGATGACAGAGAACCACTCCTTCCTAGATAAAAACTATCTATAGGTAAATTCATTTGTTTTTTTCGGAAGGGCCAAAGTAAAGGTGTGAACTCATGATATCTGCCCGGCTTTTGTTTTGTTGTGTTTACGAATTGCAACATATTAAATGTATAAAAACTTTAGTTGAAAGAACTGTCACATTCCAGTGTGATAAACATAAACTTTAGTGTAACGTTAAGGCCACGGGTTCAAGCAATATGAGTTGATTTTTGCTAGGAATCAAAAACCCTTTTCAGCTAGCTATGATCCTGATCGAGATTATTTCAGGTAAATCTATCATTGGACTCGGCACATTCTTTGGCTGGTCAAATGTCGATATGGACAGGCAGTACAGATGTTGGACCATTTTATAGTACATGTAATAATGATATGATGATAATTGTCAATTGTGTGTTACAATTCCTCCCAATTCGGTAGCGCATGCGGTGTGAGAGGGCGGGCGGGCGGGCAGCACTACAATTTTGAAGCATGGTATAGGGGAGGATATTTGTGTATTTATTGCTTCTTTGGCGTAGAAAAATTACAGAAACTCTTTCAGATCGGTTTCCATTTACTACATTCTGTATTTGTCTTCATTCTTTCCTCGTTTTTTATCCGTTTCAAAATTATCTTTCTCCTTTTCAAGAAAAATATGTGATTAGTATTTGTCCTCTTTTATGCATTGATCTCAGTTACACAGTTTCACTTTGTTAGAGACCATGCCAACTTCAATCATAAGTCAAGTATGGGACTGTGGGAGAGTGCCACAAATTATATTTTGAAGTACTGATAAGATCTTTGCTTGATTAGTTTAAAGCTTTGATTATCTGCCGAATGGAGGCGGTTCATGTGACATTGAGACCAATTTCATAACATGACTCGAGCTTCCTATAGTGTTTCATTCAAAAAAAAAGAAGGTTTCTACGCTCGAACCCTCCTACCCCATTACCCCCCCCTTCCCCCGCTAATTGGCTATAGTAATCAGTATAACTAGTGATGGGGGAGGGGGGTAAGGGGTAAGAATTATCAAATTTTCGAACAGAACACTGTTGGAGGCTGGTCATGCTATGACACTAAAAGTCAATGTCACATGAATCATGCTCTTAGCCGAATAATAAGAGTGATGATGTGGACAACAACCAAGCTTTAATCCCAACTAATACAGTAGAAAATTTCTATAGATCAAAAAAAGGACAAATTTAGGGGTTCCAGGCAATGCATAATCACTTTTACCGCTGTTCTCAGAATCATCTAAATCACGTCCCTCGTTTGAAAATCTTTTTTGATGGTGGATTGCATTGTGTGCGCATAAACCTAATATTGTTGTGATGTGTTTTGTACTCCGTATCTTTTAATCGAAACTAGATCAGATCAGAAAGATTAAATGAGATAAATTTTTATTTCAATTAGATTAAATTAGAATTATTCAAATCAGGTGAAATGAAAAGAACGAAGTCAAAGTTTGAATCTATGCATAATGAATAGAAAACCTCATTTTGGGGTAAAATGACTACGAAATACTTGTTACATGCATGGAAAACAAGGGTTGGTTGCTGCAATTATTTTATGAAATCGATTAAAAAATTAAAAATAATATTATAAATAAACATAATTTATTTTTTAAAAAATTATTATTATCGTAAAATAATACTTCTATAGTGCTCATTCTCATAAGCAGTAAATTTGTTATGTAAGTAAAATCGTTATTATCTTTCAACTATTCTTCTGGTATGTCAAATCCCATTTATGAAAATCTAAAAACAACACAAAAGAAAACATTATCTAAGATTTAAAGATAATTGAAAAATAAAATTATTAAACATAATCTTCAATTTTAACTTCATTATCACCAAAACCTTTTTCATTCTTCTCATTAGCATCATTTTGCGATTTATCGGCCCACATGGCTTCAGCAATGCCATGTCTCCAGGCGTTAGTTTTTGTTGTTTGTTGCTGTTGAGTTGAAGTAAGTATTTCAAAATTTTCTTCCTGCATGTCAAGGTATGATGAAGAAGATGAGTTAAGTGTTAGCTTATATCCTTTGTTGCAGTACTTTACTGCAAAGATTGTTTTAAAATTTTTAAACATACTGCAGAGATTGTTTCAATAAAGTCTATTAAAACTTTTAAACCTATTACAAAGATTGGTTCAATAAAGTCTATTAAAACTTTTAAATCTACTGCAAAGATGTTTTTTCAAAAAATATGTTTCTAACTGCTTTCCTCTTTATTACTCCGTATTTTTTTGAATAAAGACTTTATAATAAAGGAATGTGATTAAAAAAAGTGAAGAGAGAAAACTTTAAAACTTTTCAACCTACCTGTAAGAATACTACGATTCAACCATTAAAAACTCTTCAAATTTAAAATTGAAAGTTAAATAACAAATAACAAAGAAAAATAATAATAACCATTATTGTTTCTCCATAGCATGAAGTTCTTATATGGAGTAGTAGATGCAATAGATGATAAATAGTTATATAGAGATTAGTGCAAAGGAATATAATAGACTCTTTCTTCTAACCAAAAAGGGAAAAAACTAATAAGAATAATTCTTCTTGACATTTTTTGAACGAAAAATGCTAGGGGTACACCAAATCCATATGTCCCCCACCCCTCCTTGTCCACTAAAAAAGGCAAAAAAATTTAAAAATATAAGTAAGTAAAAATCAAATAAAAATGTGTGGTGAAGAAGATGATGGTGTACATTTGGTGTACCCCTAACATTGCTCTTTTTGAACACATAGCCATGTTAAACTAGAAATCTATAATTGAAGACCAGAGTAAACTCCCATTATATGTAAAAAAAAATTAAACCATTCCTGACAGGGTAAGTCAGGGTTTTTTTTCCACTGGCAGTGCATCTCGGAGTTGCCTATTTGAAAAAGGAACCCAAACGGATTCAGCTACTCCGTTCGCTGTGGTTTCCTAGACGGAGTAGCATACTCCGTTTTTATTAAAAAAGTCAGAGACGGAGTTTGGCTACTCCGTTCCTCTTTAAATCGGAAGCCTATCCATCTCCCATCCACCTCATCCACTCGTTCCTTGCCCAATCCAAAAAAAAAAGGAAGTGGGAAACGGAAAGACGCCGCGGAGAGAGCAGAAACGCAGCGACGCCCAACCGAGGAGAATCGCCGGCCGGCGAAGATCCCAAACAGCCCAAACCGGAGTCAGGTACTCCGTTTCGTGCGTTGGTATTTTTTTTGGTTAAATTTTTTCTGTGCGTAGGTAATTATTTTGAATTGTGTCAAAATATTAACAAATATTTTGGTAAATTTTATAAATTTGTTATTGTAAAATAATTATTTAGACATAGATTGTATGTATAATTTGGATTATAATTTGCTTCTTATGTTTTTATTCATTGAATATATTTCTATGTTGTAATCCTTGAAGCAAATGGATGCACATCCAGGACCTATTTTACGAGATGTTTTAGTAATTGAAGTGGGAGACCACATGTGTGGTGCAATTTGGGCCAGTGAAGAATATGCTAAACATCTATTAAAGTGTCACAGGACTTGTACTAGTTTGTATGCGAGGACACTTATTGTTAATAGACCTGTTCGTGTGATTGAGTTTTTACGAGAATACGGATTTTATGGGGTTGAGAAAGTTGGTGGCTTGCAGTTGGATTGGGCTTTGATCACAGCTCTAGTGGAGAGATGGAGGCCAGAGACCCATTCATTCCATCTTCCCTTCAGAGAGGTTGGAATTACTTTGCAGGATGTAGAGGTTTTACTTGGATTGCCCGTAGAGGGCAATCCATTGGCGGGGATGACGGGCCAATCCAGAGACCAGTGGATTCAGATTTGTGAGGACATGATGGGATTTCGGCCTCAAACTTCCGATATTACTTCTACTATGATTAAGATGTCTGCCATTGTTTTGAGATTCAAAACCATTTTTTCAGATATTTATTTATGTTGAAATATTTGGTTTGATAACTTATTTTTTTACGGTGTTATGTTGAAATCTGACAATAATAATCACACCAACCTAAATAAATACTACCCACTCCCACCTACCCGACAATAATAATCACACCCACCTAAATAAATTAATACTCACTCTCACCTACCCTACAATAATAATAATAATCACATCCACCTAAATAATACTCACTCCCACCTACCCGACAATAATATTATCCACCCACCTCGCACCTACCCAAATACACACACCCACCTAACTAAAATAATACTCACCCCCAACTAACCTCACTCTACATATTATAAATACCACTACCTTCTTCATTTTGAATACACCATCACCATTACTCTACACACCAAAATAAACAATGTCACAAGAGAATACTATACTTCTTGTAGCTCATTGGAATGGTGAGATACAAACCCTTAATAGTGAAGTTCAATACTCTGAGCTTCCGAAGAAGTCTTTGTTGTTTAATTCTGATATCTCCTACGACACCTTTCTTGGTCAAATTACTAGTGATGTTCTTGAAGATGGATTCCAAGGCGTGGAATCTGTCTATGGTAAATTCCCCAGACATCAATCTGGGGTTTATGTTGGTTCACGACCTCTCCCAATCAACGATGAACCAACATGGAGGCATTTTATACGGAAAGCATCACGTGAATACAATGTAGTTGAAGTATTCATCGAGGTGTCTAAAAAATGTTGAGGAGGAAACGGATGGTAATCCATTCTTCCACCAACAAATGGATCAGCCCTCTTCATCCCATTTCGCTCAACATGTTGATAGCGATCCAGATGATGCTGAGTACATTGCACCCTCAACGGAAGATGAAGAATCTTCGGAAGAGGAAGAGGACATATCTGCAGATGAAGGAGAAGATGGCCAGGACGTTCGTGCAATGCCACAATTACATGACCGGCAAAGTCACGTACCAAATATGTCGTTGAGGCCAACATTCCACATCCCAATTATTGAGGTCGGCAACAGGTATCCTTCTTTCCAAAGTCTACAACAAGCTGTGTCATTACGGAACATTGCGGAGCATAGACACTTTCACACAGAAGCGAAACAGAGCCGCTATTGGAAAGCACGTTGTGTATATGCCCCACAATGCACTTGGTTCATACAAGCAGCAAAGAATGCTGGGTGTAGTATATGGACCATAAAGCAATATCAGGGGTATCACCAGTGTAGGCCGGATTACACGCGAGCTAAAGACGACAAATTGTTAACTAGTGAGCTCATTAGTGGCCTGATTGGTCCTAAAATTGAAGAAGATGCTGATTATAAAGTCAAACTCATAATGAGGGATGTTTATGAGTTGTTCCAAGTATCTGTCTCCTATAAGAAGGCATGGTGTGCAAAGTCATTGGCCATTCAGCGATTGTACGGTAGTTGGGAGGACTCATACAACAAGCTGGCTCCTTTGCTCGGTGCAATTATGGGATCAAACCATGGGACAGTTGTGGATTTGCAAACCCAACCTACGAACGCATCGACTACATTTCAGTTCAGGTATGTTTTTTGGTCTTTCAAGGCATCCATTGATGGCTTCCAATACTGTCTTCCAGTTGTTTCAGTTGACGGGACTCACTTATATGGAAAGTATAAGGGAACTCTATTAATTGTCGTGGCAATGACGGGAAATGGTGACATTTTTCCCTTGGCTTTCTCCATTGTGGATGTTGAAAATGGTGAAAGCTGGAAGTGGTTCATGACAAATATCATGCGACATGTCGTGCCTCCGCACCGCCATATATGCATAATATCTGATAGGCATGGTGGTATTGATCACGCATTCAATAATGTTCCAGAATTGCAGGGAGGTCAAGTCACTCGAAGATTTTGTCTCCGCCATGTGCGAAGCAATTTCCATAGCAAGTTTCGAAGTAAGAAATTGAAGAACATGATGTATAAAGCTGGTAAGACCCCTAGCAGAAGTGAGTTTGAGAAGACGCTTCTCGAGATAGCAACCAAAAATCAAGAAGCATACAACTGGCTTAGGGCTATTCCAAAACACATGTGGGCATTGTCCCATGATGAAGGTGGCTCATGCCATGGTATTACGACAACAAATTCATCAGAAAGCTTCAATCATGTCCTTAAGGGATGTCGTTGTTTACCTGTCTTTGCCATTGTGAGGTTCACGTATGACAAATTGGTCAAGCTATTTGCTGATAGGCGAACCAATGGATATTTGTGGCAATAATTTGGGTATAATTTTCCAATGAATGTGTGGAAAAAGATCAAGAACAATGAAGAAAATAGGCTTTATTGTCGTGTTGTGCAGCACCACGCACAACATGGGATATACTCTGTGGTTGTGGATGGGTCCTTCAACAATGGTCACCGCGAGACATTTGCGGTGAATTTAAATGCACGGACATGTACCTGCGGATATTGGGTAATATATCACATTCCGTGCATTCACGTTCACACAGTATGTCATCATTGTAGTGTCACTGTGGATCATCTGATTCCTAATGTTTTTTCACTCCAATCCTACATCAACGCTTATTCCGGCATCCTAATGCCGCTTCCCGATGAGGCCGACTGGCGTACTCCAGGATACGAGATTGTGAGACCAACTGCACGAGCGAGAACACAAACCGGTCGACCAACAAGAACTCGCTACCCGAATAACATGGACTACCGACCACGACGACGTCGCAATGAATAATAGTTCAAATATCCAAGTTTATGTTTTATGATTTTCACAAATAAATTAGTGATGGCATGTGTTTTGTATCCTTAATTTTATGGATAAATTTTATGTACTCTATCAATAAATTTGTTGTAATTTACTTCTTATTTTTAATTCGGTGTATGGTGCATTATTTAAAGTCAATAAATATTTATTTTAACTATGAATTTTATTGTTAGTAGATTCTTTGTTTCATTATATTTCAATAATTTGTTGATTTTTACGTAGTATAATTTTTTATGTTTTTTTAAATATAAGAAATAAAGTAAATACTTCATTTTAAAAAAAATTAAAAAAAACAATGAACGGAGTTGGCTACTCCGTTTTCTAATTAAATAATTGGAACGGAGTTGGCTACTCCGTTTGGGTATTTAAATGCGTGGAACGGAGTAGGCTACTCCGTTTCTGGTAAATTCTGCAGGCCAAACGGAGTACGCTAATCCGCTTTGCTTTATTTGGGAAAGTATATACTCCGTAATAAAGTTACATATAATGGAATACAAAACAAGGAACTTACACATGCATGAAAATCACCCAAAAAAAATGATGCAAAGACAATTTAGGGGAAAAATTGAAGGCAACAAAATCTGAACGGAGTATTAATACCCAACAGCTAAAATTCCACCAAAATTCACATTTTTTACAATTTTCAAAAGTCAATCAATTTTTGAATATCATTAAATTTAGAAAAATTTTTTAAAAACTGAATTGAATATATCCAGATTTTAAATGACTTTTTAAAATCTGAATTGAATACCCACTTTAAAATTAAAAAATAAGAAATCCTGAATCCATATTCTAAAGAATATATTCTTGAATGAGCATGCTAACTACTGAGGAGGCGAAAGAGAAAGATTGCAATCTGGAAATACTAATCTTGTTGAGCACTTCTAGGTCATGGCGATTCCCATTTCTGAATCGCCACAAATAGGAAAGGAAAGAAGGACAGGAAGACGGCCATGGGGTAAAATGATCGGCGTGATCTTCAATTTCTGCTTCACGGCGATCGCGTTTATATCGGCATCGCCCGCCGCCGGGAATTTGGAAGCTCCGGTGACCGGAAATGGAAGCCACAAGGGCGCTTCTATAGAGCTTAAGGGCGGACCAGATGATGTGGCCTGGGTTGTTCAGCTGTCTGATTTGCACTTCAGCGCACACCATCCAGAGAGAGCCCTGGACTTCAGGAACATCGTCGGCCCCACTCTCTCCATGATCAATCCTTCCCTCGTCCTCATCACCGGTGACCTTACTGGTAATTTTGACAGGGTATTATTATGATTGTTTAGTTTTCAAACATATTGATGCCAGAAATTTTTCATGTATCCCCCAATGAATGGCCATGCACATCTAACAATATGTGTTTTTAACCACGTTCTTTGGTGCAATTTTGGAAATATATGAGCTTGTTAACTTCATCCAGATGCAAAAAGCAAGGATTTACTTACATCAAAGCAAGAGGAAGCGGAATGGTTACAATATCGGGAAGTTATGGAAGATGTCATTAGAAGGAGTGGGATGAACAAAACCAGGTTCTTTGATCTAAGAGGAAATCATGATACTTATGGTGGGACTATTGGTGGTTCGTTTGATTTTTACTCACGATATAGCATCAATGGGCAGCTAAGAAGAATTGGACGGGTCAACAGCGTCAGACTTCAGGTTATTCTCTATCCAGTTCCATTTGCTGTTAGACTTATTGAGGGGCATAAAATGGTGATGGTATAAATAAGAAAATTTATCTGTTGGTATGGGTTCATTAACATTTTACCGTTTGTTTTCATGAATGTGTAGATAGTAATGACCTCATCATCTAAAGATTCCATTGGAAGTTAAAGATAAATACCACATTAGATTGGTTTTGATATTTTGTAATACCACATTTGATGACCCCACAAGTAATGGCACACCTAATATGAAATAATGAATAACTTTTTGTACAGAATGATGTTTTTTCCCATTAAACAAATCAAGTTGTTAATCAATCTAGAAATCATTCATTTGTGTTATGAGTTTCAATCTTTTAATGTGTTTGACCCAAAGATATTGAGCAAATGCTTTGACTTTGCTTTGGTTGCACTAATATTCCAGCGTGGTTTCTTTTTAGGTAGATTATTTTTTGCCATGCCAATGTTTTCTCGTTCTTTGATACATGTGATCCATCACCCAGACCAGCACACGCGATATACTTTTTGTTGGGTTTGACAGCGCAATGTCTTCAGGGTTACGATTTCCGACCAACTTGTTTGGTCATCCAACCGATGATCTAATAATTGATTTAAACTCAGAACTTTCACAATGGGGCACTGAACCTACAAAATCAATTCTGAAGATTTCATTTGGGCATTTTCCACTGTCCTTTTCTGCTGCAGCGTCTTCTGGGAGCACTTTGAAGAATGTATTTATGGACCAATCTTTGTCCGCTTACTTGTGTGGGCATCTGCACACAACGTTTGGGAAGAACTTAAAATGGCTTCATCACCTTCATGAAAGGCATAAAAACCCAACTGTGGAGAAAACCAATGAAGTTCATGAATTTTGGGAGTGGGAAATGGGGGATTGGAAAAAGAACAGAGCAATGCGGATCTTGGCTGTTGATAGAGGATGCATTTCTTTCACAGATTTAGACCTCAGATTGGTTGTGAAGGGAAGAGCTATTATATTGCCTACATTCCCACTTGACTCTCGTTTTATTACTGACAAGTCACTGCCAGTGGGTCCCACATTCTCCAGCCATAACAGAGCTCTTGTGTTTTCATCTTTGCAAGTAACTTCGGTCGTGGCAAGGATCTACGACTCGAAGCTCAGAAATCTCATTTTGGTATCAGAGTCTCTAATGGAGAAAAATGGAAATTGCTCCTCATCAAGGGGGGATCTTTATACTTCTCCGTGGGATTTCAAAGCCTTTGAAGACCCATCACCTGACCGATTCTTGTTGCAAATTGAGGCTGTCGATATCAGAGGAAGATCGTCTTTCAGTGAATTACGGCCATTCTCTGTTGGTGGTCAACGTGCTATGCTCACACATAATTGGAAAGAATTTATTGTCATGAGTTGTCAATGGGATGCTTTATACTACCCATTATTGTGGTCCTTATATGGGATCATTCTCTCAATTCCTCTTGTTCCAAAAATCATATTGTCATTTTCTAGACAGCAACAATGGACCTATAACCAGAATTTCTATAATAACAGAGGACTAGCATGTTTTGCAAGATGGATTATGATGGAATTATGCAGTGCTCAACAAGTATGGTGTGGTGTGATTGGTTATTTGTTTTACCTCATATTATGCCCTTGGCTTTGTGGTCAAAGTCTCGCAGAAGGAGAAAGGGGATACATGACCTACAGAGGTTGGGCATTTAAGTCTTCCACAAATGAAAAAACACACTTTGTAGGGTTTCCGGATGTAATGGTGGTTGTTATCCCACATCTTTGTTTTGTGGTTTTGCCTGTTCTTTCTGTAATTGGAGCACTGGTTGCTGAAGCAGGTGTGCACCGAGATAGTTTGCGGTTGCTTTCGGGTAAAAAAGAGGACGAATCTGATGCAAAGAAGGGGTCTGATTCATCGATCCATGGAAAAAACTGCAATTCGATAATGGGGCTTCTCTGTGCGCGTTGGATTAGGAAGCTTCTCCTGGTGCTTTGCATCATGATATGTTGCATTCATTTTCTGGTAAGCTTTTGGGAAAATTCATCCAATAATCTCCGATTCTGCCGATTATACAATATTACTTCCAGGTTCTCTAGATTCTCTTTTGCACGCGAATGGATGCTCAATTATGGTTTATTTATTAAGTTATTCAAAAAGGTTCCACTGACGTCCAATTTAGATACATTACTTTAGATGTATTACCAAAACAATTATACATAACTAAATCAGAAGCTGACTCAGGGAGTAGCGATAAAAATTTCAGTGATTCTCCAGAGTATTGGCGTGTAAAAGAGAATCCGAGAATAATATTGTATAGTTTTGAGAGTATCTGTTGGACATATTAGCTTGACCCTTTCTTTACTTTGGTGTGCAGAGTTGCAGAGCTCTTTCGAAAGCGTACGAGATGAACCCATTCATCCATTTTCCGATCTATAGTGTGGCAGTCCCACTGTTGCTGGTGAATGCAATCTACAGAACTAGAAAGGGCCTAGCTTAGATAACAAAGAAGAGATGTAAGGGGCTGTTTGGCAACTTCTGAATAGGTAAGTGCTGAACCAGTAAGAGGTCTGAACCATTAAGTGCTGAACCAGTAAGAGGTCTGAACTATTAAGAGCTAGTATATTGCTTAACTATTCAGAGGAAAATGTCTAATCAATTAAGATAAGAGGTCTTAACCATTGAGACTCTGTATAATACTTAACCATTCAGAGGCAAATGTCTTAACCATTCAGACATCTGAACCATTAAGAGGCTGAAACAAACAGTCTGAACCATTAAGTGCTGAGTCATTCAGACATCTGAACCATTAAGAGGCTGAAACAAACAGCCCTAAGTGTTAATGCCCATATTAACTGCTGACAAAGGGAAATATGCCCCTTACTAGCTACATTTTTTTTAAATACTTACTCATACCTCTTGCACAGACATGTAAATAACTTTGGCCACAATTATTAGTTGGATTCATTCATTATTGTGAGTTGTGACCTTATCTTAACATTTGCTTTATTTAACCACCCGTACTTTCCTGCATCTATGTAAGTAGTACTCTCTTTGTTTAGAAATGAATTTCTCATTCCTATTTATGAGTATATTTAAAAGCTACATAAAATATTCTAAAAAGTTACATAAAAAGTTTTACAAAACAAGAAGTCACATGACTATTTTATACTTGGTACTACTTTTGTTTTGGTACTACAAGAAGTCACATGACTATTCAGCTTCTGGGAGACGTGGAGGGAGTTGCGGCGGAGGACTCTAAGGACGAGATCTTGTGAGAGGGAGATGGATCCATTAGCTCCGTCGAGGTTTCGCGAGCCTCCCGGCGCTGAAAGAGCTTTGGCTATGGAGGCGACGAGGAGGAGATTCCCAACTCTGGAGGTGAATCTCCTCCTTGCTGCTATCATCTACTCTACATCCCTCTAAACTCTTTCCTCAAAATTATATTCTCATTTCACTTATATACTTTTTAATAAAATAATTACTCTCCTTTTGAATTAATAAGGTATATATAGATTTTAAATGGATTAGATGTATCAATAGTCGTTACTAGATTCGTATTCGTTTATTTTTATTCGATATCGAACTAAGATACAAATATTGACGGATAATAAAAATAAAAATTGTAATTTCAGTAAAAATCCTATCTAAAAATCTTGACGGATACTCCCTCCGTCCGCCTAAGATGTGCTCATTTTGACTTTTGGTGGTTTTAAGAAGAGTTGAAAAAAGGTGAAAGTTTACCATAATACCCTTAATGAAAAATGGGTGGAGTGTATTAAATGAGGTGGGTGAGGTGTAATAAATAAAGTAAGTGGGGTAGTTGTGGTATTTTACTTGTTAAAAAATGAAATGAGAAGATCTATTGTGGACAAAGAAAAAGGATTATTGGGAAGATCTATGATGGACAGAGGGAGTATTAAAAAGACATTTTTTTATTTTTAATTATAAGTTCTATATATTTCATTTTTTGAAGTTTACACGTATTCTAAAACAAATTAAATTAAAAAAAAATGAGAAATTCATTTCCAGTCGAAAAAATATTAATTATACATAGATGCAGAATAAAATATGAGTTTTAAAACATAAAAAAAAAATGGTTAGCGAATGGGCTTTAAATGTACAAAAATGTAAATCTTTTTCCTTGCCAAAATTAGCAGCTTGGTCTTGCAAATATGTGGATTGGGTAGCGAATGGTTTTTCTCCACTTTTGTATTTCTATTTTTTTAATTGGTCTAAAATTTAAATGTAGACAAGTGTAATTCTTTTTTCTGTAAATGAGTTAGACTCAGTTAAATATGAGTGCAATAGACTGACTCAACGAAGTACATTATGTTTTTTTTGAAATAGTGTACTGAGTAATCCCAAGTTTTAAAGTACCACGGGTGTAGCGGATGATTAGCAACTTTGGTCCTAACATTGGATTGGGTAGAGAATGATCGTTCACTCTTATGGGGTTGAGATGGCTCCTTGGCCTTCTAATGGGTTCTAATTTTTTGTTTCTATTTTTTAATTGGTCTACAATTTAGTTCTTTTTTCTACCAAATCTTTCTGATAGAATTCTAAAAGACACACCGTAAATGAGTTGAACTTTATTGAGTNTTTTTTTTGAAATAGTGTACTGAGTAATCCCAAGTTTTAAAGTACCACGGGTGTAGCGGATGATTAGCAACTTTGGTCCTAACATTGGATTGGGTAGAGAATGATCGTTCACTCTTATGGGGTTGAGATGGCTCCTTGGCCTTCTAATGGGTTCTAATTTTTTGTTTCTATTTTTTAATTGGTCTACAATTTAGTTCTTTTTTCTACCAAATCTTTCTGATAGAATTCTAAAAGACACACCGTAAATGAGTTGAACTTTATTGAGTGTCAGTGCGAATAGACTGATTCAACAAAGTACATTACTTTTTTTAGAACAGTGTACTGAGTAATTGCAAGTTCTAAGGTACCACCATGTGTACCGGATGATCGTTCTCAACTCTTATGGGGTTAAGATGACTCATTTGCCTTCTGAACGGGTTCTAACTTTTTTTTTCATTTTTTTAATTGGTCTAAACTTTAAACATACTAAAATTAAGTTTGTTTTCCTCCACAAATTTTGTTTATTGAATTATAAAAGACAAATTATAAATGTGTCAAACTCTATCGAGGACAACGCAAATAGACTGATTCACCGGAGTACACTACATTTTTTTTTGAAATAATGTACTGAGGAATCGCAAATTCTAAGGGTATTACCGGGTGTAGCGAATGATTGTTCTCAACAGGGACAAGGACCCATCCCAACAAAACAAAAGAAAAAAAATAGAAACAAAGAATAAGAACCCGTCACAAGGACAAGGAGTCATCCCAATCCCGTATGATAAAATTTAGGATGGGATAGAGATAATTAGATTGGGTTATAAGACAATTGGACTGAACCAAATTAAAAGATTGAATTCAATCGATTACTTGGTTCAACTCAAGAGCTTATATACCCATTAATTTCCTCACAGTTTTCCGATGTTAGAACAAAAGATTAAACTAGGACAAGTAACTCCCAAGGAGGAGTACATAGTGAAATTAAGAACAATGTTTGTGATTTAAAAGCTTTGGAATGGGTTATGACAAAGAGTAAATATGCAAGTGCAACTGGATGGCTTCGTTCGGCGGATGAGCTGACATGGGAGATGAACTGGATGGATTTAGCTTCTTCAATTTCATTCATTAGCTAAAGAAAAAAGGATTGACCAAATCTGCCCACACCGGAAGTTTTAGAGCTTTATGACTGAAATAAATAGCTGAGGTTCGAAGAATGGAGCACGACCTTACTTGAACAGGATCTGTTCTATAGGGAAGTACCTCCGAATCCTTTACTCTAAAGAGAAAGGAAACCACACCTGGTTGATGAAATATAGCCAAGGAGCTAGAGCGTGATTAGCAGCCACAGGTCCTAGCTTGGATTTGGTTAGCGGATGATCGTTCTCAACTCT